TTGGAGATAGGATCTTGCTCTATTCCCTAGGCTACAGTACAGTGGTGTCGTTATAGCTCTCTGCAACCTCAAACTCCTGGGCTCAAGCCATTCTCCTGCCTCAGTCTCCCAAGTAGCTGGGACTACAGGCATGAGCCAGCATGCCCTGATGAAAAATGTATTTTAAAAAAGATAAAATATCTTTTTCTTTTTTAAAATAGGACTCAAAAATTTTATTTATATAAACTGTTAGTAGACATGGCATTACAGTAATTATATCATAACTACTACCTAGGATTAGTTTATTTAATGTGGAAAGTATTCTCTAGGTATACCTCATTTAAGTATATAAAAGAAACATTTTCCAAAACACGTGTAAGTGTATTAATAGGTGTAATGGTTCATATATCAAAAAGAAGTACTGCTTTGCAGGATTATTTTGAGTGGGATTACCTTCTGGAGTAAAAACTATTAGTTTATATACCTCAATTCCGGCAGAAAGGCCAAAAGAAAAGAAATATCTTAATCTATGTTGTTAGGTTGAAAGGGAAGAGTGAAATTGTAAATGGAGTTACATTTAGAAATTATCATGTAACACAGTTAAAAACAAAGTTATTCACCGTACACAAAACTGGCGCCCACCAGTCATGGGAAAGTATCTGTTAAGCAAACATCTTATCTAGGTTTAGGACCAATCAGGAAATTCTTCTTCCTGATTCCAGTGATTTCCCTGTTACCTCTGGCTCCACTGAGAATGGAGATTCAGATTTAAACAGACTCAAGGTGTGTGGTTCAGTCTACAGTTGCCAAAATTTGCACCATGGCTGCCTCAGAGGGCATCAGGGTTTCAAATCTGTGATTCAGATTTGCTTACAGCATCTCGAGAAGTCTGGCACAAACTTAAATAAAAATTGTACAGAAATTCTTAGGATCGGGAATTTAACTGGGCTTGGAACGTGGCTCCTGAAGACTAAACACTTAAGACATACAGAGTTCTAATGTTCTTCAGAATTGTGCGGTGTGAGCCAGGTCAAGTGACATTCCCTAGCACGGTAACACCGAGACTATGTTTTGTCTTTCCTGATAAATCTTCTTTTGTGTTGGCTATGTGATCTCTCAGGGGATCTATATAGCTTATACAATCAGCAGACATTTGTCATTTGTTCTAGTCAATATAAATACATTGTAAATGGATGAAAAAAATATCTTAAAACTGATTTTATTAATTCTTCCTTCAGAATTCTCTGCCAAAGATGTGGTGAATCCACCAAAACCCTATGAAGAAGTATTTAAAGAAGGAAGGGAAGGACATGATTTGTATGTTGTTTCTCACAATGATTATTATGTGGGTAAGTGTTCTCCAATGTAAAACGGGCCTGAGGATATGGGACTCGCAGATTTGAGAGGAGGAATAAAGGAGATAATGTGCATAAAGTTAAATACCTGGCATGTAACAGGTGATCAGTACCTGGCAATTTATTGTTATTCGTAAGGTCATAAACCCTGATAGCTGGGAACACGTATACTTATGCATTTTGTATATAAAACACAGAAACATGTATCATTAAAGTGAAAAAGCATCTAAGAAAGGTGAAATGTTAAATAGTTTTATTTTGCTTTAGTGATTTTAGGTTTGAAATTACTCTTCATATTCAAATGTCAGGCTTATTCTAAGTGCTTAGTTTTGTGTGAAGAGTACTGGGTGATGGTCAAGTGCACACATTTTTGAATCCGATATATCATGTTCAAATCCTACCTCATCCATTTACTATCTTTTAGAACTTGGGCAATTCACTTATCTGATCATTATCCATTCTTTTCTCTTAAATGGGTATAGTAATATTGTGAAGATTGAGTGCATAGAAATGCTTAGTGTAGTGCTTAGAACATAGTAAACGCTCATAACAATTAGCTATTGTTATTATTAAGTGATCTTGTCTACTAGTAGCGTATTATTAGAATTATTCTATAGTCTAACTAAAAGGCATTACATGTTTACAGTGCTGAAAATTACAACTAATTGCCAATATGCTGACGCTAAGTAGAGTCTTGATATAATCAAGGATTGAGAATTAGACTCTGATAAATGGTCTGAGAAAGCCCATGGATTGTGCGTGATTCATGACCTCAATCTTCATCAGCTAGAAGCGAGAGCTGCCCTTCACTGCAGTGCAACACCCCCTCTTTCTTGCTCCTTCTTTCTTATTTCTTTACTTTTTCTCCTCCACGGTTCTCTAACAGCATACTCCCTTTGTGCTCTTCCTCCCACCTTTCTGTTCATAGCTGAGGCTTGCCTCCTACTCCCATTGCTTCCCTATTTGGTCTGCCATTCTGTTCTTTCATGGCCAATCTCCGCGGGCTCCCTACACTCCCTAATGTGTTCCCAGACCTGAGATTGTCTTTACCCTCCCATTCAGACCATCCCTGTTTCTCCCCACTCCAACAGCATATTCCTTCTCACAACCTTGACTTTCTCCATATCTTTACCCCTTCTACTTCCCTAGATCCCTCCATCCCTTCCTCCATCCCTCCCTCCCTCCCTTCTCTTCTGAAAAGATTTTGTTTGTGTTTTGAAAAAGTTTAGCATCCAATGCCCTTTAATTGTTTTAAAAAGAACTATGTTAACAAATGTATATACTATACAGAGCACCTATAATGAGATACCTTATAAGCGTTTAGCAGTCTGAGGAAAATTAGAGTAGTTTTTTATATTTAGAAGAGCTCTAATGGACCATGACATGACTGAAATTACCTTCATTTGCTGTTTTTTTTTCCTTCCTTCCTGAGATGAAAATTTGCTGAAAATTTGTTTTTACGGAAGTTTCATTAGCCTCTTGAAAAAAATCATAGAATTTAATCTTTTT